GTACATTATCTTGTTTGGCAGAGAGCGACAGTTTGTGTTCATTATGACGGGGACCGTAGTTAAGTGTATTGGTGTACGTTTGAGAGCTCTCTGCCAACCACTACGATGTTTCCTCCTTGGTTTCTTTGGAATATGAAAGTCATTTGGTCGTAAATGATTAATAAAGTTACGAGAGTAAATGATTCTGTTAGAATTCATATTTAGGTGATAAATAAATGTTGGTAAACAGTAGACTGGATGCAAAATGTAGATATTATAGTAGCTGGCCCAAAAATTCGAACAGGCCGCCAAGGTCAAGGTCAAGTACATAATTAATAGTTCAGTGTTTGCTAGTTTGTCAGTATTTGCATGGTAACAGTTTAGACCGGTGGATGGCTACTAATGAAGAGTCCCAAACTAGACGAAACAGCTGTCCATTACACCCTGATTTCCTAACAGTTCTTCAACTGACGTCAGCTTGTGATCAAAACTGTAATTTTTAGTTATTCAGATTATTAGCTACGTATTTTAATTGGAACAGATAATATATACTATGAAACGTTTTATTTTAATTAAACCGCGTCATTATATGAATGTCATTGAACTAGTTTTTATGTATATAATTATCAGTACATATTTCTATTTAGTCATTCCACTGATTAACAGTAATAAGGAAGTTATTTAAAATCTTAAATTGACATCAATGTGAATGTATTTTTATCACTTTAACGTCATGCATACAGAAAGTCTACACATAATATACATTATCAGATTGAACAATATTTTCATCGTCATGTGTATAAGATAGGTCGATAAATAAGTAGTAACATTTTGATCTACTACTAATTAGGCTGGTCAGTAAGTGTTCGATCTAAGTATTATATATATATACATATATGACAATGGAAAGTTAGTCAGTAAAGAAGTGGAGCAAAGGAAACACTGGGCTGAACACTTCAAAAGACTTCTAAATCGACAACCACCTACAACGCGCACAACAATACCAACGACGGAGGCAGAACTACCTGTGAACATCACCCTCCCCCACCGACGAGAGCAGAAGCCCTGAAGACAATCAAGATGCTAAAAGCTGGAAAAGAGGCAGAACCAAATGGAATCCCAGCAGAAGCATTGAAAATGGACTCAGAGACAACAGCGGACTTGATGATGCCACTGCCAGAGAAGGAGGGCAAAGTACCCAAGAATTGGAAGAAAGGCTACTTATTCAAACTACCAACGAAAGGAGACTTAAGTCAATGCAAAAACGGGCGCGGAATTATGATCCTGTCCATCCCAAGCAAAATACTAAGCCGAATCATCCTGGAGAGAATCAAACAAGCCACCCTGGATGAAAAACTGCAACCGGAACAGGGCTGATTCAGGAGAAACAAGTCATGTATTGATCAAACCGCCACACTACAAATCATCATTGAGCAAAGTTTGGAATGGCAGTCACGTTTCCACCTCACTCAACTTCATCGACTTTGAAAAGGCCTTCGACAGTCAGCATCGATCGAGAGGTGGTTTGGAAACTACTTCGCTACTACCAAGGGGTGCCATCGACAATTATACACCTCATCCGACAGTTATACGACAATGCTGCATGCCAAATAATCCACAACGGGAAACTTACGGAAGCCTTCAAAGTGAGGACGGGAGTGAGACAAGGCTGTCTGCTATCGCCAATGATCGTCCTGACTGTAGTGGATTGGATAATGCGACAAACAGCGGGCAGCGAAGAATCAGGAATAAAATAGACCCTCACAAAAAACTTGGAGGACCTGTACTTCGCCGATGATATATGTCTGATTTCGGACAAACTGGAAGATATGCATGTGAAAAGCAACAAGTTGAAAATGGAAGAAGCAGCCAGAGAGGATAGATCTTCAGATGAACATAGAGGAAACAGAGGTGATGAAGGCTCCTGGTCAACACCAACAGCAACAACAACAACAACAGACTACAATCAGCATAAATGGAAGGAACCTGAAAGAAACAACCTGCTTCACTTACCCACCTATCTGGGAAGCATCGTTTCAACTACAGCCACATGAAACTGACGAGGATTTCAAAGCAGCTGTGATCGGGAAAGCAAGACAAGCTTTCATTACTCTAAAGTCTGTGGGGAGGTCAAGAGCACTCAACATGAAACGAATATAATATCCAGATTTTCAACTCCAATGTGAAGTCAGTCCTACTTACCATACGGATCAGAGACTTGGTGCGTCATAAAGAGCATCTCAAACAAACTACAGACCTCCATCAACAGCTGTCTTCGCTCAGTACTCAAGAACAGGTGATCAGAAAAGATCAGCAACAGGCGGGGTTATCTGGCAATGAGCGAACCAACCCAGCAGGAACCGACTGTGAAACAAATAGGCAGGAAGAAATGGAGATGGATTGGCCATACTCTGAGAAAACAAACCATCAAGTGACATCACTAGACAAGCCATTGCTCGAGTGGAACCTGACCGAAAGGGAAGCGGCGAGTTGGTCGACAATAGTGACTTGGAAGAGGTGATGTGAAGAGGAGATGAAAGCATGTGGTCAGACTTGGAGTGGGGTAAAAACGTTGGCAGCGAACCGAACGCAACGGAGACGCGTGGTCGAAGCCCTATGTTCCTCTAGGAAATAATATATATATATATATATATATTAGTTGAGGTGTGTTCTCTGAGCGGGATGGTTTATTTACGAAGCTTTCATTCCCCTACTAGGCAACATCTTCAGTGCATACACTTCAATTAGTAGTGAGCTCTTATATATTTCTCCAAGAGTTTATAAGTCATCTCTCCTGGTAGTGACCTTGAACGTCGTGATGGGTTGTTTTTGGGTGTTTCTACACCCTCCAGGCAACTTGTATTGCTACTGATTGTTTTGTGTGTGAGATTTTCTTCTTATCGATTGGTAATGTTTTCTATGTCAATGGGTGTATTAATCGATGATTCATTGGAGCACCAGGCGGCTTCTAAACATTTTCTGGCATTCTTCATTTTTCCATTGTCTTCTAATATTTGAAAGCTGGTCGTCGCAGTCGACTTGATGTCTGTGGTTGTCTGTATGCAGTGAGGTGATATGAGTGAGTGAGTGGATGGTATGTCTTTTGACGGCTAGTTTATGTTCATGGATACGAAGACGAAGAGGGCGACGTCCACTTTGGCTCGCCTAGTAACATGAAGGTCCTGAGTTAGATTTTTATTAAGGTCATAAGCGGGCATTGCTGAAGAGCACTGAACAAGGATGTGGCAAAAGTACAATACGCCATGATTTCCTTTAGTTCTCTAACTGAGATCAATTGGTAATAAATTATGAAAACATAAAATTAGCCTGGATTAATGGTCAAATCAACGAGACTGATTGATTGTATAATGTTAGACGCTTGGTTACATAAGGTCAAAGATTTCCCATGAAGTCAAAGGTTGTCCGGTGAAAATGCTGTGTCCACGAAAGAACATAAATTTGAAGTTGAAACATGAGCTCTTTTGTTCTGATTACGGCTTGATTCCACACCATACTCTTTGGTACAAGTATGCAATTTTCAGCATGTGATATAGGTTGCCCAAATTTTGCCGGCCGAACCCCGGACCGTGTGCATGGTCAGCAGGAGTCCTAACCACTGTGCCACCGATGCACAGTGGTCTTCTACCTCTGCAGCTAAATGACTTCAAATTTCTATTCTCGTTTTAGCCATTTCCTATCAGAGGTATCATCTGCAGGACAAACTTCAGAAAGAAGTCATCTGTTGGGATATACTTGCACTAGTTTTTCTTACACCCTAACCAGATGGCCTGGAGTTTTCGTATATTATTTCGTAGACGATATTACCCATGGATGCATTGCAATCGGTTATCTTCTAGAAGACATTTCTGATCTTGTGGATTTTTGTCGATTTCTAATTAGTTAAATGAAACGGTCTATTAAATTCACACTGACTAAGGTATAAAGTCTCCATGGTAGGCAATGATTGGTCTATTGATCTTTGTACACACAGTTTAGGGTGTATGTGATTAATCCAAAGTGCTTCCATCACCTTCAATAATCAACCAACCTTGAATTAGAGTCATGTGAAATAATTGTGAAACAGTAATTAATATTGATTTTGTGACTTGACATTAATAAGTGCTTTGTAATGGATGATGCTGGATTTCTATTCAGATTAATCGCATTGGGATTTTCGATATGATTAAGTAGCCATTTTGGAACATGTTCTTTTCGACGACGACATTGGAACATTCTGTTGGTCCCTATATTCCTATATAGGTGTCACCGCAACAACTGCAGGTGATCTTGTAGATACAGTATGAATGAAGTAGGGTCCACAGAATTTCGTCCTTTAAGTGTAGGTAGGTACATGGATCGAAAATGTTCAGCAAGTGAGAAAAAGAGATTCGGCGTAGAATGTGCATTTGATGGCTGACCGAAGTCTTTGAGCTAGCTGTCAACTGCATAATCTGGTCACCCTTGAATGACAGGTCAACAAAGATAGATAGCTTTCTTTGGAACAGAAGCTGTCTTTTCGAGATATGGTCTTTCTTTACTGTGACAAGTCATATAGTTCTCCGGATAACCATTAGCTAATAAAACTGAATGTATATGTCGAAACTCATCCATCAATGTGTCACTCGTGCATATTTTTCGGGCCCTTGAGAACAAACAGTTCACTGAATAGGGAACGTTTATACTGGTATGTACAAAAATCAATGGACTTCAATCTTTGCCTACCATGGACTACATGACCTATGTGAATATGATTGGTCATTAGTATGTACTTTTGTTTTTTATTTAACTGAGTAATTGTCATGATCTTTATTTTATTATTATTGTTAACCATGTTAGCTGTAAAGCGGTTGTAAAGAAACTGCGAAATGACGATATCATCTCGCGAAATTTGTCTTCCTAATGCCTTATTCAAATTTATCAAAGGGACTAATTGTTCTGTTCTGTTTTTTCTCTCTTTCGACTGTATCTACGGCAAATCATTGATGCATTTTCTTGATCAAATATGAAAATCAAAACAATAGGATTTCTTAATCTTTCAAATTTGTCTATCACTTGTTGCATTGGCCTACCTACAGTCGCTAATATGCTATTATGATCGTAAGGAGAATCTACGTCGTAAACATGAATTAATGTTCATGAATCAAGTGAATGAGGCTAGACGTATGTGGTCAGATCAAAGTCTATCAGATACAGAGAATAATGATATCGACGAGGAAGGTGGTGATCAGCATCACCGACATCAACAGCAGCAGGAGCAGGAGCCTCATCATCACTGGGATATGGTAGTGAGAAAGAATGAGGATAAACTACGCTTAGTCACTTTTAATGATCCACACGAGATAGTTAATACTGAGTCGAATGTTATTACTGCTCATCCCAAATCGATTGATTCGTCGAATATAAAAAGTAAGTGGAATGCTTTTTTTACTGGGTATTTTTTGTTTAATCTTCATTTCTCGGTAATTGGATCAGTTGGAATTCATGGAATAGGCATCGGATCAGGTTTCAGTGACATAATCGTCGGTGAGCTCGCTTTGTAACCAGAAGGTCCTGGATACGAATTTCAGTGGGCGCGTAATGTGAAGAGCTCCCAACTGGGACGAAATAGCTTTCTAGTACTCCCTGGAGGGTTTTCCACTGGTTCTCTAACTGGTGTCAACTGGTGATGAAATCCTGAATCTAATCATGTCCCTGGAAACCATTATTTATCTCAATGGTTGAATTGACACGGAGATCGCCTCGTAATCTAGAGGTCCTGGGTCTGATCGTTGGTGGTATTATGTGGGCTTACCACCAGATAGCCTCAAACCAGAACGAGGTGCCTGTCCAGTACTCCCTGGTTTCCCATGGAAGCACTATTTTAATGTAACCTTGTGTATCGTCCTCCTTGAGGTTTCGCGATTTATTAACAGCAGACAGATGAGCATTCTGAAAACGTTTTGTTTCCCGATATGAATTTAAAAGAAGCAGCTGATGCGTCAATAAAACAGGACTTCATTATGAACTGATTTCAGTTAGAGGACCATTTGAAAACCAACAATGATCATTGGACAGCTGTTTCGTCCTACTTCAGGACACCTCATCAGTACGCATCCACTGAGGTTTGTATCCAGGACTTTCTGGTTACAAGGTGCGCTGGAAGACCATTAAACCACTGGGACCTTATTCAATGGTCCATGAATTCCACCTTCTGCCAGTTCATAATATGGTTTGACCATTAGCAAACAGCATTGCTAACGAGTATTTGTCCTCACATTCAACCTGCTGACTTCCCACCAGAACCCAGTTAGTCACCCACCTAAATAGGCCCAGTCACTTGTGAGCATCAGTGTGTGCTGATGAGGAATCCCAAACTAGGCCGAAACAACTGTCCAGTACTCCTTGCAGGTTTTCCAATGGTTCTCTAACAGATATCAGGTCATGATGAAATCCTGTGACCAATGAAATCCCTACAAACCAACACTTGAAAGTAGGATTTACTGAATTCATCATATTTTGGGATTAGAACTCCTCCTTACCTGAATACTCTACACACAATGACATATGCATACTTTAAAAAATACATTAGTAGGTATACGACTCGTAAGAAAAAAAAACTACAGTGAACCAGTCACGCCGAACCACGGGTGCGAATGTCTTACAGGTCAATTTCAGACAGATAAGAGGGGGAAAGAGGTGGGGGATTTAGATTAACAATATAAGAGATTACAGGCTAATTATATTATTTAGGGCCGACAATTAGTTATAGGAGAAAGGACTTCAAATGTCAACAACTACAAAATGAATAACTTCAGCTGACTGGCTTCGCCAGCCTGCGTCATTTCACTTCCCCGATTCCAGCGAAAAATAAGGTTATTGTTTATATTTTTAGTATTTTCAATATATTTATGCGTTGAAGTTTCTGCAGCAATTCGGTTAAGTTTTGGGGGTGGAGTTGCTAACACCACGCCCCAACCCTCCTTCTTTATCCGGGCTTGGGACTGGCTAGAAAACTAGCGAGCTAGTAATCTGGGCGAGGTTGGAAGATATAAGGCTGATTAGCTGATAAACTACACTGATGAATTAACCATGCAAAATGACACGTCCGATGAATGTGTTTTCAGATCATGTTCGAATAGATAAGTGGAGGACTGGGAGTATGAGAGATTTAAATTAAGATAAAAATGAATTACGCTTCAATTACACCACTTAGATAAACAAGTAGTCATCAGAGAAAGAACTTAAATACATCAAGAATTCCATGCGAACTGAGTAATATTAATAGTAATAGTTATATTAATAACAATAATGTTGAAATGAGTTAAGACTACCCAAATAGCTCCACAGGAATCTTTCTATATCAATTCGCCATTCAAAGGAGATGATGTACAGGAGGTAGTCAAACGAAGACTCGATAAAGCTATCGGGAGAATTTGTTATACTGCAGAACTTGTCTTCCTTAACACTACTAAGCGAGTGCTTCCAAAATCTGGGAAAGACCAGTCACCAATCCTCGACACTTCAAACTACGCATAGCAGTTTGAGTGTGTTTATGGAAGCAAATACATAGGTCCTACAGAAAGGCGATTATCAACTAGCATGATGGAGCATTTGCCAAAATAATTAAGAGCAGCTGAATTCAAAGTGCCAAAAAGCTCAACGACAAGGAATCTTATGGACTACGTACATGATATCAACGCGGTCAAGTCATTCACTATTGTCAGCAGACAAAGAAACAGGAAGATGCGCTTGCAATTGCGGAGGCTTGTGCAATTCGGGTTTGTAAACCAGGTCTCTGTGTATACAAAAGGAAATGGTCGTGACTCTGAATCTACCATGGTAATATGTCTAACTTATTAACTATTATTATTACTAATATTAGTACCACTTTATTCTACCTATTATTATTATTTTTGATTTATTTAAAACTATCTTTTATCAGCAGCATTGTCTTAACTCATTCCCACATTATTATTAATATAGCTACTACTACTACTAATATTACTCAGTTCGCACGCAATTCTTGATGTATTTAAGCTCTTTCTCTAATGACTAACTGTTTATCTAAGTGATGTAATTGAAGCGTAATACGTTTTAGAACAACACATTTAAGCGAACAGTATTGTGGTTTCAATTAGATCTTATCAGGCTTAACTCTAATGCATCTAAGTTTACAAATAAAATTCAAATATAAACCAATCTTAGTGTTTTGTCTATTGGATAATAAGATGGTGAATATAATTTGTGCAATTAGTCATAATAGTAGTAATGATAATAATAATAATGGTTGTATCAATAATAAAGATGAAAAAGTGAGGCAAACTGTGATAACACGAATAATGAAAAAACAGCATGATTAAACAAACAATTGTTCAGGTGGAAGTAGTCGATAAAGGCTAGTAAAAACAAATGAACCGATTACGTAATGTTAGATTGTAAGGGAAGGAAATGAAACACGTTTATAATGAAGATAAGATTAAGGGGTGATAAGAAAGGGTTGGAAATATAAATAAGGGGTGGTGTAGAAGTCTTTAGTTGGTTATGTCTTATTAGGCCAAGCAAGGGAGGGATAATGGCTGTACGCACTTCTTTTGAATGCATAGTTCGAATGCCTATCGCCTGCCTCAGCTGTGTTCAGTAGACGAATACGAAGTCTATTAGAAAGATTCGGTGGGATACGATGAATTACTTTGAAGTCTCTCGTTTTCTTGACCACATGACCGCTATCAATTAAATGCGACAGAATTGAGCTACGGATTGTTTTCGTCTGTCCTTTTGCCAAACTACCACAATGTGAGATGTTCACTAACACGTTGGCTAAGTTGTCTAGTAGTATGCCCAACATAACTGTCACCGCAGGTGCAGTTGAATTGATAAATGCACATAGATGTGGCAAAACTATCAAACTTATCCTTCATTTGCGTCCCTATCATTCGTCGGCTAGAGAATAACAGACATAGGTGTGCTGCGTAAAATGTTCTTCGTATACTCCTTAAAAGTCTCTGGAATAGAATCTCACTAGATAAGTCATCATTAAATTGAAACTTATTAAATAGAGGTTTCTTACGTGCACTCAGAGTCTTAAGTTTTTTCTCTGGTGTTTTCATATGTTTCTTTATGGAACGTTTTATCTTAATTTCAATCTCTCATACACCTTCTACCCCACTTATCTATTTGAACATGACCTGAATACACATTCACATGAGTTGTTTTGCATGATTAATTCATTAGTGTAGTTTATTTTTGCTAATCATTCGTATATCTCCCATTGTATTTCCAATGGTATGTATATATCCCTGTATGTAGAGTATTCAGATGAAGAGTTGTTCTACCAAAATGATGATGAATTCATTAAGTTATATTGCTGTGTTAACCTTTTTTGCTTGCCTTTTAATAAATGTTTCAAATTCGTAAAGAAGGTATTTTTTCATTTTCTGAGGAAAATAAATCACAAGCAGACTGATATGAGGTAGTGGATGTCATCATGTCTTTTGACGGCTAGCTTATGATCATGGATACAAAGACGAAGATGGGGACATCCACTTTGGTTAATGTAGTGTTTTTCGCAGTTGTTACAATTTATCATTTGTAGATGATGTTGGTTTTATTTTCTTTCGCTGCTGAGTCTTTTGATTGAGTAGCTTGAAAATCCCTATTGAGTCATATTAAAAAAAGAAAAGACGTTCACCGAAGAGACTGACTCTTTTCGACGGCGGATTCATCCACATGGCTAGCTGTACAATCGCATTTATATACGATTATCTGTGTGTGTGTGTACATCAGGTTTGTCAAGTTTAGATAACTGATCAGGTAATAAAAGAATGATCTAATATAGAAACAAGGTTAATCAGACAGCAACCAAAGTGAGATTGAGTTAGTAAGTTAGATGACGTAATATAATTGACTGAAATGTTTCAACTTAGGTTGGGGTAGCAATAGAGGTAATTACAGGTAGAGACTAAGTAGAAGTAGAGTAGAGAATGCCTAATGCCATTTAAATTAGAACTGGAATTGAGCAATTAAATTGGATGATGTAACATAAATGACTAGAAATTGAACTTTGGTAAAGTCAGTAACAGCGGTAGTGAGGTTTTGAAATTAAATCGAGTGGGGATAGAAAACAAAAGGGTTGGAAATGTAAAACATTACAGTTGAGAAGACAAAATAATACTAGTGAAGACTCAGACAAAAAAGAAGACTAGGTAGAATTTACTTGTCGGGTAATAAGGTAGATTACGTCCATTGCAAGTGTAGTGATTGAACGAACTTCTTCTGTATGCGGAGTTCAGAGCTTAGCAAGTGAATCGCCATCGCTTCTGCAGTTTGAAGAAGTTTGACTCGTGCGTACACCTTTAGGAAGACTACTTCTTACTCTGTAGACGACTTTGAAGTTTGTTTGGGGTGCAGCTTGGTGTCCGGATTCTATCAGATGTTCTATGATGGAGTTGGGGAGTGGAAATCGTTTTTCTCCTTTGTAAAACCATGTTGGTAAGTGTTCGGTGATACGCTTGGAAACGAACGTTAGGTATGGCCGACATACCTGGTTCCACACAAGCAGGTGAATTGATAAATATACATTGATGAGGCCAGCAGTGGTAGCTTAGTGGAGTGGTGAAGTGACTTTGTTGGTTTGTGTACGACTTCACTTCCTAAAGGTTTGAAGAGTTGTGCAGTGATTTCTGAGATGTCCTTTATATATGGTAAGGAGATTTTCTTTATGCTTTCCTTAGGGGCTTTTGGTTTGATAGGTTTGCTTGCTGGTATATATCTTTTGATGAAATTCCGTGGATATCCATTCTTGCGAAAAACGTCCAAGGACGTCTTAGTCAAGCGAACAACCACAGGGGAATTAGAAACTCACGTTTATAGAAAATCAATTTACACTGACCAAATCCTGAATTACAACAGCAACAATCGAGTAACACACAAAATGAATTGCATACAAACACTATTCAAGGGCGCCAGCCAGGACTCATTGCACCACTCCCACCTACCTCATGGAAAATTGAAGAAAGATTTCTCATTGACTTCTTTCAAAAGAATGGATATCCATAGAATTTCAACAAAAGACATCAAAAGAGTTAGTTGAATGTATAAAGTTACTTGAACTTCTATTTTTGTCTTATCTGCTCAAAACTTTTCATCATAGTGGAGTATGTGTATGACAGTGTTATCTTTGTTTGTTTACAAACAATGCTTGTTGAAAGTCAAGTTTATTTGCGTACTACGTCTATCTTCTGATTGAAGTGGCTAAGTTTTAGTGTCGTAGGTTGTGAACAATCGGTTTATTGATAGAACAAAATGAATTCTCTCTTTTCAAGTGTAGTTTAGTTTATTTAAAGAATTTCAAGTTGGGTACTCAAAAAAAAGCACAAAAATAATTCGAAAGTACGCTTGAATCTCTGAAAGCAAAAGAGTATTTACTGCCTTGAGACTGATGAATTAGAATAAATATTTATGTTTTTTTTGAAGGACTTCTATTTTAAGAAGTGTTTTTTCTAACTTCCAACCAGTGTCATTATTCTGACTAGGGTGAACCAGAACAACTTTTTCAGCTAGATAAGATGGATTGAGTCTACTACTTTGCATAGGGTTTTCATCAACTACATACAACCTGAAAATGGAGACGGGGTACAAACTAAGTATACAGAATGTTAGAATAGTTAACTGTGTGACGAGAATACGGTCGGATGTACCGAAATCCTTGAATGCAAACCAGTCGGTAGGTAGATTACATAAACTTGGTGTTAATATAGCACCAGTATGGACGCCATGAACACACTGATGTGCACATTCCTACTCGATTTGGTTCAGTTACATAGGTTAATGTTCGGAAATCCGACCATAAACATGCCTAATTGTAGAGTCTATGTAACTGACTCCACAGAAGCAGCCAGATTAGCGGATGCAGGTATTAATTTCATTTTATTTTTATGAAATAAATAGACTATTGCCTTCTTCTGTTTCACATTAAAGTATAACAATATATATATATATATATAACAATAATAATGATAATAATAATAATAGTGATAATGGTAATATTAATGACGACACCAATAATAAGCAATCTAAATCATCAGTAGTAATTCCATTCAAGGAAGAAACCTTGGAAGCCTTATGCGGCATTCTTAAAAAAGCAGGAATAACAGTGGCTGGCATTCGCCCCCCTCAACAAACTCAATTAGAAACAAGCTTTGTCGGTTAAAGCATCAATCCCGTGGAGCCTTTAAAACAAAACAATTTAGTTTATCTAATAGCCTGATGTAATGACTGTCAGGTCAAATAAATTGGTCAAACTAGTAGGACAGGTGCAGTCAGTCAGACTAGCCGAACACAAAAACCTAGAGGCGAAATCTAGATTGGTTGACCCAAATAAGATAAGAAATCTGTAGAATAGTTCAGCTATAGCACTACACCACGTGCGATTACACACAACCATACAATAGGATGGATGGGATAGGATGACAGTTTTAAAATCTAATGTCACAAGGTGGAGAGAGGGAGAGATTGATAACAGCGGAAGCTTTGTTTATCGAATCAACTGAGAGAGAATACATGTAATAGGAATGATTCACCACCTGTCCAACCAGATATCTGGAAAATTCTACTGCTCCTACGACGACAATTAGGAGAAGACAAAGAAAACTATAAAACTTTAGTTTCAAAGTCGTGTGATTACAATTGATATGATCATGAACAATGCTAGATTGTTTTTTTAAATTTTGTCATCCAGTAAATAATGAATACTGTTCCACTGACTGTGTGATACATCTGATAAACAAACTAATATGGAATTACTTTCTCGCTTTCCTTAATATCCTTGTGTCGCTGACTTCTTCCATTTAGGGTGAATAAATTTAAACACATTACTAGGTAGCTGTTTCCATTCACGTGTAAATTACCTTTTTTTATTCCATGGCACTTTTCTTTGTGCAGTATATAATATCTCCATTTTGGCTGGTTATAATTCACTATTCTAAATTCCTACATAGACTCTTGTATCCTCATCTCCATTCTCGGTTGGTATTTCTGCTCTTATAAACCGGATTGGCTGTATAAATTACTTCACATCCGTTCTCGTTTTTGCATAGTTTATTTATTATTCAGTTTGAAAATCTTCTGCTCTCACTCAACAGCATAAAAGAACAAGATTCGAATTCTGTTCAAGACAAATGTGAAGTCAGACAGTCCTTCTATATGAGTCATAAACTTGCACTGTGCGTCATTTAAGGTATTTTTGCAACAAGTTACACACCTCTATCTACAGCTGCCCACTTCACTGGCTGGCTCCATACAAAAGATCAGGTGGCCAGAAAGAATTAGTAACGAGAAACTCTGGCTGGGAACAAACCAACAGCCGAAAGCCGAATGCTCAACAAATATGTTGGAGAAAATGAGGACAGGTCGGATATACGTTGAGGATGTCATCGAATAACATCGTGAATAATGTATACCAGCAGTTGAGTTGACGAGGGGGTCGTCAGCACGCACGCAGTTGGTATGGAGGAGATCGTGAGAGTTGGAAGACGAGTAGATAGGTTATGGGCATTCGTGTAGCTAGCCAACTGAAGAGGACAGGTGTGTTGTTGAAGCCCTATGATCCACTCGGAACCCAAAGGAGTAATAATAATAGTAATGAATGCAGATGAGAAGGAAAACCCTATATGGTTAGATAACCATTGGAAAACCTGGGAGTACTGGACAGCTGTTTCGTCCTATTTTGGTACTCTTCAGCGGCAGGACGAAACAGCTCTCCAGTACTCTCATTTTTTTCAATGGTTGTCTAACCAATGTTGTCAGCTGATGATGAAATCCTGTAATCAATTGAATTGTACTTATTTGTCTGACTCTTTCCTCTCCTTCTAAACATTTCCTATTAGACTCGGGGGATCAAATTGTTCAAGAAGAGAGTAGTATTAGTTCAAAGGAGAACGAAGATAGATTCAAATCGTATAACAATATGTTGAAAATGAACAAGGTAAGAAATAGAATTAATAAACTGGTTAACTAACAGTTTTCATTGTATAATGAGATTCACTAGTAAGCTGTATTCAGTGCTTTTTTAGTGTACTGAATTCACCTTTAAATGATTTAGACAGCGTTTGGTCACCTGGTATCGACTCCAACCTAATCAGATATTAAAAATGCAGGATAATGCTATATACTACTAACTGACAGGTACGAGTAGCTGGATACCACTTATTACACCATTATGGATAAAATTTTATTTTGATAAAGTCTCACACAGTGTAGTGCTATACAGTAATATTTACTGAAGACCACCACGTTATCATATCACACAACTGTATAACTTCGTATATATATAATTCCATTACTTTTCATCGCGTAATTTGATTGGTAGTAGTATTTTCCATATTTTCGGTATGAACGATGAGTCACTTTTATTGCATGTGTTGGGGATAGATTATTCGATGAAGGAGGATTCAGTAATCAATCTTCCTTCCATCTATCTATATTACCCTTTAGGATTTGAACTCTGTCCCGCCAGCCCAATTGTATGGTTGTGTGTTAATGTATGCAATGCAAGGCTATGCTGAGCTTTTTACTGAATTACTCATCTTCGTGGGTGGGATCAATCATTCTAACCTTAACGAAATTCTTGTGTACTGATAATCTCACTACTCTGATCTACTAGTTTGACTGACCTATGTCACTGACTAAACTTACAGTCATTGCGAGGTATCTTGTAAATTTTATTATTTTCTTTAATTGGGTCCACCAGGTTCTTTAGCCTTAGTGAATTTGTAAGTTTAAATGCCGCCCTGATTACTGCTTTATTTAGAATCCTACGTAGGGAAGGTCGCAGATGTCCCCTCCTTGTAAGGTATAACAGTAAACTCCTGGTTTTGTTATCTTTACACCAACTGGCGAATTCGACAAAGCAAAAATGAACCCATGCTGAGGAACAATGGTTAAGTTGTTATATACAAACTGAGACTTTGTAAACTCTGGTTTAATAATACTACCTTGAAACATCAGTAAAAACGTTATTGTTTTGGTCTTTTTCATTCATATTGGAAAATACGAAAAACCTCATTATAATGAAGTAAAATTAAATTTTATCCAGTATTTGAGTTCCCCCCCCCATCCACCCTGACACTTGTATCTATTATCCTGTTGCATACAACCAAAAATGAAGTTTGCTTTTATTTCCACCTTTTTTTTAATTTTGATTATTAATTATTTATAGTCAGAACAAAGTGATCAAAAGTCACCGACATTGAGTGTTACATTTGCCAGTCCTGTCATTAATAATAAGCGTAATGGTAAACATACTTTGATTACGAACAGTAATTATAACGAAGGGGATTCTGAAGAGGTGAAGAAACTGAAGGCTAACAGCATCATCAACAACAACAATAACAACAACCATGATAATGAGACAAACAGATCACCAAAAATGGGACAAATTGCTTCGAGAGCAGCAGCTAGAAAAATGAAATTCTTTGGTGAAGACTACAATGGCAGTACTACTAATGGGAATACAAATGGTAGTAGTATGAATTATAACCATAATAATGAAAATAATGACGATAGTAATAATAACAATACTCATAATAACAAGACTGAAGATACTACCAATAGCATTATCATTGAGGCGAACAACACCATTCTGCCACGGAATGATGTATCAGTTTCACAGAAACCATCAAACAACTGTACTTCTGATAATGATGATGATGCTAATAATAATGTAAAACAGAATAGTAGTCATTTCGATCAGATCAATAATTGTAATTACTTGGCAAAAAGATCAAAAGAACAGAGAATTTCAATACCGAGAGGGAAAATGACTAATTGTTGTGGTCGACGTCCGGAGAGAAACAAAAAACGTCAGTCATTTCATCCATTAGCTATTATTTTCGGTGATAAACCAAGTGGATCAAAACGTGAATGTTACTTTTCACGAGATACTGAAGGTGTGAATTTGTATTTACGCTTGGGAGCTGTCGGTAAGTCTCTTTCTACACTACTCAATATTACTTATAACATAAAGTAACATATTGTATGATCTGCCTTAAGTACATAAACCAGGACTTCCTCTTCGTCCAGTCCTAGATATATCTAATTCCACCTACTATGGAGTGGCAAACTGGCTAGGTGAACTCCTCCAACCGTTACACAAGATGGTAGGAAATCATAGTGTTAAAGACGTTTTTGAATTTATTGCTAACGTAGAGGATATCAGTGTAAATGGGAAGCAAGTGCTATCATTAGATGAAGCATCACTGTTTGCCAATGTATCACTTATGGAAACTGTGAAATTCATATGCCAACAGATACTAGAAAAACAGATCGACATCGGAATACCGGTTATTAGTCTGAAAGAGTTGCTTTTAAGATGTACTATGAATGTACACTTCACATTCAACAAGCTTTATTACAGACAAATCGACGGTATTGCCATAGGTTCTCCACTGGGGCCAATTTTGGCAGATTTCTTTCTTGTTAAGCTTGAAAATGGTCCATTGAAACAAATAATAGAGAAAACTGATTCTTATTTTCGTTATGTTGATGATACGTTTATTATTCTTGAATAGGAAATCCAACAAGAATGAAATGTTAGTAAAATTTAATGATGCACATCCATCGCTCATCTTCACTTTCGTAGAAGAACATGATGGTAGGCTACACTTCCCTGATGTCCAGTTGAGCAGAAGAGAGAATGGTTCACACAAAAGGGTGTCTATAGAAAACCTACATCTGTAGGTCACTATACACATTTCCTCAGTTTTGTACCAATCCGATACAAAGTCAATTTGGCCAGATGCCTCACGAATAGAGCAAGACGTATCTGTACAGATGACTTCCTAGAAAATGAGTTGGGATACATCCAAAATACACTGGTCCAAATGGGTTATCCCAGTAGATTTGTAAGGAGACACATGAACAGCAAGTACAATAAAGAGAAGCTGACAACAGTTGAAAAGAAACAACTGTTCATGAAATTCCAATTTAATGGGGACGTGGCTAGCGAAGTCTTACATCAGAGATTATCGAGAGCGATGAAACGGATTTATACTGCCGCCACACCCTTTCTTTGTCATTTTCCAGATCCCGACCAATTATGATTGCTCAAGTGAAAGATAAGCTACCTAGCTGTGCCACATCTATGTGTATCTATAAATTTAGTTGCTCCTGTGGAGAAAGCTAGCTGTATCGGGCGAACAACTAGACCGCTTAACAAACGCACCATTAATGAGCATCTTCCCTCATGGTTCGGAAAAGGTCAAATAAAATCTATAAGAAGTTCTATTTTGGCTCATTTGAATGATTGCGGTCACCAAGTGGACAAAAATAGCGCCTTCAAAGTTATCTATCGCATCTCATCGAGCCTTTCGAACGGAGTTCGAACCCGCCTTTTACACATATAGCCGAAGCTATGGGAATTCGAGAGAACAATCCTAGTCTTTGTATACATCAAAAGAAAGCTTGTTCTATTTTTGTCTTTCCCTTGCTTTGCCTAGGTGCATTCTGTTCAAAACCCTCCCACCCTTTCTTATTTTCCATCTCCTTCGTACTTTTATGATATCTATTTAAACTGTGATATATCTATTTGTCCACTTAACCTTTAGTATTAATTATTTTTTATTATCATTTTATTATTATTTGATCCACAAAATTACCGTCACTGGTTAAATTGTTTTTTTTATATACAAATTTATGTAAATTAGAGTAAAGCCTGAAGAAGATCTAATTGAAAACAATAATATCGTTCGCTTATATGCCTTGTTCTAATATTAAAAATGGGAATATTTAAAGATTTAATAAATATTTATCATTATTTTTGCTTGTCTCTTGTGTTCTGAGGGAGATATCTGAGGCTTCAGTGGCACATCTCTACTTCCCTCGCTCCTCTTTCGTCTATCTTTTATTTCCTTGTCTCACGTTCTTCTCTATGTCATTCTCCAACCCGTGTGTAACTTTTCCTTCTCCATCTGTCAGTCTTTCTAGAGTAGGACGTCAACTGACGATCTTCTCTGAGTATTTCTAATCCATCTTTACTCCCTTCTGCATATTTATTGGTCAGGAGTACGTTAACTTGCTTGTCGACGTCATCATACAACACTACTGGATGAGGTTTTGTGATATCCACTCCGTAGTGTTGAGACAGCTGATAAATTTCTCCACGGTCGGCGATGTTGAAATCCATTTCAAAGTCGATGAATTTAAAGTAGACATTTGATTACCACTCTGAGTTCTGTGCGATTATGCCACATTATGATAGACACATGATTTACTTTTTCTTAATCCATTTTGTTTTCGCCAGAGTTTTCCATCTATAGCTTCATTTAGTCATTTCAGGTTAATTAGGCCTAATGTCTCGCCTAGGATAATTCGGCGTCACTTAATGAGTAGGGTACTGTAGGTCGGGTGTGAGGAAAAATACTCACCGAAGACATGGGCTAGGGGTCGTGCTATGTCGTGAATTGGCAGAAGTTAGAATTCATACGTTGGTCATTGAATCGGGTCCCAGTGGCTTAATGGTATACGAGCTCGCTAGCCTTGTAACCAGAAAGTCCTGGGTTCGAACCCTGTCGGTGGGTGAGTACTGATGAAAAGTCCCAAACTAGGACGAAACAGTCGTCCAGTTTTCACAGGTTTTCCAATGGTTCTCTAACTAATATCAGCTCATGATGAAATCCCGAAACCAATCAAATCCCTACAAACCAACACTTGAGTACGCTTAAGTTGGTCTTCTTCGGGAAGGTAGCCCTTCTTACAGTCGGTAGCTGCCATTATTTCCTTCCAAACCTTCTGTCGCAGTGATGTGAACATATCGATTTCTAGGAAAATTTCGAATGGTCCTGTTGCTTTTCCAGATTTCAGCAGCTCCTGAAATTTTCAGAAGACAGCAGGTGTTCTGTGTCCACCAATGGTTGTAGGTTTTACTTTGCTTCTTCTTCTGCTTCTCCTGTTGTTCTCCTTTTCACTGGTTCATCATCTGCTTCACCATTTCTTGTCTTCATTTTTTTCTCTTTTCGGCTAAGATATCTACTCAGGTCTCCTCATTAATGTCGTTTAATATCTCTGGCTATTTCCTGATGGCTGCAATGAAGTTGATTTTTTTGGTTTCATCCTTCAGTTGTTGAGTCGTGAACTTGAATTATGCTCTGATGTCAGCTTCTTTGAAGACTTTCAACTTGAATTTGAAGGTTCTTCAAACTAGATGTTGTCTAGTCTGAGCCTACGTCTGCTCCTCTTCTGGATTTTATATCCAGCCAGCTGAGTATCCATTTTCTTGAGTTTGAGATGAAATATATACCTCACTTTTAGTAGCGTCCATCTGTATATGTCCTTGGACTTAACCTGCATAGGTCGCCTTCAATTACCAAATCGTTGAAGGCGCGGAATTCTGCGGATAGATCTCGTTTCTTATTCATTTCGCTAAATGGCTTTGCCATGATGAGTTTTATTCATGTAGCCCCTGCCTAAGTTTCAGTTGGCTTTCATACGGCGGATCTTGTTTTTTACTGCTTGGAACTGTCTGTAGAAATAATAATTCCTCCCTATTAGATCTGCATTGCTAGTAGTGTGGTGAGAGCTGGCTGCTAGCCAAATTGGTAGACAGTAATTTACATCCATGGTTACGTCCCCAATACTGGTCGTGAGAAAAATACGAACAAAGACTGATTCAACAACCAACCATAGAGGACAGACTTTGCGTACGCGGATACAATTAGTAGGTAGATGATCTGACATTCAAGAAACAGCCACAAAGAGATGAAAGAATAACTTTCGGTGAGAAACAGCCAATCAGAAGACTGTGTATATTTATGTACATGAAAATCTGTAAATATGTGTTGATTTCGTAAATAAATGATCTGTTTCCTGGTCCTTGTCATCTGTTGTTACATTCGGTGTTGCTGCCTACCGACAAATGGAAAGCCTATGCCCTGCAGTTTTTGATGGAGATATATGGATCTTCAGGCAGGACTTCAAGGCTTCTGTGCAGTTGAGTGGCGTTCAAGATCTGTCAGCGATGAGGCTGCTACTTAAGACGCTGATGGGAAGTCTAGAGGAAGCAGCATATGAAAGTGTGAGGCGAAATACCGACGAATATAGACAGGTTCAGGCAAACAGTTTTCAAAGTGGGAAGGATCACATATGGTCACTTCGAGATGGGTTACGCAGACACAATCGCAATGGTATTCCAAGAGAAACAGGAGAACATCAGCGAGGATCGAGCTTCCAGAAAGCAACACAAACGAGCAAAGCTCTTAGAACCAAGAAGACCGAACCAACTTCATTCGCAAGTGTTTGATGAGAGGTTGAGTGTAGTGGGAGCTGGCTGCTAGCCAAATTGGTAGACATTAATTTATGTCAATGTTTATGTCCCTAATACTGGTCGTGAGAAAAATATGAACAAAGGCTTTGCGTAGGTGGATACAATTAGCATATTGATGATCTGACATTCAAGAAACAGTCACAAAGAGGTAAAAGGTTAACTTTCAGTGAAAAAAACCAATCAGAAGACTGCGTATATTTATGTACATGAAAATCTGCTTACACATAAATCTTGGGTTTTTCATCTTAATGATTAGAGGTCACTTAGAAATCATCAATATGGTCAACCACACTTGTGGTTCGGGGTTCGATTCTCAGGCGCCAACTCCTAAGCCTCACTTGGCCAGTAAGTTGACCCAATAGACAGGAAAGATTTTCTAGGCCGCCCGAACCAGTTAAATCAGTGCTACCGGTGCTATGAAAAGTTCAAGACCTCAAGCTTGAAGTCCAATATTTCACTAGGAATGCAAAGGAATTAGTGGAAAATGTCAATAATGTCAATGTGCCTTAACTTATATAGTTGTATGCAGCTGTAGAACCTGATACACGAGTAATCAAAAATAGAATATCCTACTTTTAGTATTCGAGTGTTGGTTTGCAGGGATTTTTTGTTTGTTTGTTTCAGGATTTCATCATGAACTGACATCGGTTGTTCGACCACTGGAAAACCCCTAAGGATTACTGGACAGCCGTTTTGTCCCGCCATTTTGGGATTCTTCATCAGTATGCACCCCCCACCAGGGTTCTAATCCAGGACCTTCTAGTTACAAAGCTAGCGAGCTCGTAGGCCATAAAGCCACTAGGACCCAATCCAATAGCCAGACCATGAATTCCGACTTTTGTCAACTCATGAGATGGTGTGACCACTGTCGAACATCATATCTGACGAGTATTTGTTTTCACACCAGTCAACCTTCTGTCACGACTTCCCACAAGAACCCAGGCAACTACTTACCTGAATAGGTCGAGTCAATAGTGAGTATCTATGTGTATCCTGAACTAGGACGTAACAGCTGTGCAGAACTCGCCACAGGTTTCCCTATTGTTCTCTAACCGATATCAGTCATGATGAAATCCTGTAACCAATCAATCAAATCAGTCTGATGCGCAATAATGACTGGCCTTGTCCAGGTAGTTAGTCACCTGGGTTTTAGTGGTAATTCGTGACTAGTGGGGTGCAGAAGGACAAATACTCGTCAGCGATGATGCTCATCAGTGGTCACACCATCTCATTAGTTGACAGAAGTCGGAATTCATGGTTTGGCCATTGGATTGGATCTCAGTGGCTTTATGGTCTACTAGCTAGCTAGCTTTGTAAATTGGGAGGTCCTGGGTTGGAAGAATTCCTAAACTAGTGGACGAAACAGCTGTCCAGTAAACTCTGGATGGTTTTCCAGTAGTTCTCTAACCGACTTTCAATTTATGATGGAATTAACTTTAGTAATTAAACTTTTGAAATAACATCAATTAACTGGATGATAACAGATATCATATTATGTATCAATATATATATATATATATATATATATGGTTTTTTAATTGGCTTTTGTTCTCCTTTTATTTTTACAAAATCTTAGGTTTTGGTTTCGGTGTTATGATATTCGATGGTTTCAAAATAGCTGAACCATGGGAAAAGACGTCAAGCACCGGGGGTGACTGTCATGGACAATTATGGATTCCTCTACATATATTACATTTTATCTATGTTTTTTGGCAGACATATTTTCTATTTAAACATCATCGGGTAAGAGGGAGTGAATGAACGTTTTCTCTCAAAGAAAAGTAGATTTGGTTTGAAAACGTTTTTATTTTTTGTGGTACTTGCATCGCCTATCCTAAGCAATCGAAGGTGTAAAACCTAGAGAATTTTATATCAGTCTTGTGCTTCGTATCCATAAAGTGTGCCACTATGGAACTCCTGAGTGACCTAATCACACCGGAGAATGCTCAAAAAGGCCACGATGGTCTTTACAAGTTGTTCTACCCAAGTAACTATCTCTTCAGAAGAACAGTGAAATGTATAAATGCGCATTGAAGTGGCCAGACTCAGTAGCTTAACTTTGCACCTGCATTGGTATTATACAGTGAATGGTGAATTTTAAGCATAGTGTTACGGCGAAGACTGTTATATATCTTGAAGAAAATAAAAGGCAAATTCAGCGAAGGAAATTTTCTCTAATAACGAAATCGTCTCTACAGTCTGTACACAGTCGTATTTATATTGACAAAAAATGTATAGTAGTCTATTGTTGAGTAATTGGGGGTGATATATAATTGATATAATTATTCAAAAGTGGCTTTAGGAGTAAAAACTTGAAGCTGTAAATTACATAGTACTCAAAGGCACAAAGAAGTAAGGGTTAGAAATTTGATAAGGTTGAAACTGCTATTTAGTGAGAGGAAAGGTAGTTGAGTGTCAAGTGAACAGGTTGAGAGGGTGTAAAAGCGCACTAAAAGAAAATATGAGAGTGATAATAGTGAATTAATTATTAAAGTAAAGGCAAACTAAAAGAAGAACTGAAAATTTTAAAAAAATTAAATTTTTTTATAGGGAACGACTACTGAAGAGGTTAAGACGAAGGAAGAATAAGAGACTGGAGAAACTTTTTCTGTATACGGAATTTGGGGTTCTATTAACGAATTACCAACGCCTCCGCCACAGACAAATGCCAAAACTTGACTCCCTTTGTATCATTTGGCCTAACCTTCTAGATAAATTTGAAAGGCTAATCTGGTGGAGCTGTATGCGCTGAATTCACCAATTGCTCTAGAATTGAGCTAGCGACTGTTTTCTATTGTCCTTTTGCTAACTATGCCAGAAAATGTTCAGAGATGCGTCTGTGAGCTTTTTGAGGCCAATACAACTAGCCGCATAGGAGCAGGTGAATTTATAAACACATTGAAATGGTTTTGATGTGGTTTTGTTCTCTGAGCTGGATGGTTAGTTTGCGAAGCTTTCATCACCTTACTGGGTGACATCTTCAGCGCATACTTCAATTTGAAGTGAGCTTTTAGATTTCTCCACGAGTTTATTAATCATCTCTCCTGGTGACCTTGGACGTGATTGGTTGTTTGTGTGTGTTTTCACACCATCTAGGTTACTTGTATTGGAACCGGTTGTTTCTTTGACTTGAACTTTCACCCTTTGTTTGTGAGCTTTCTTTCTTATTGGTTGATAAATTTTGTCCATCTCGATGTGTCTATTGATTGATGATCCACTGGAATGCCAAGCTTCTAAAAATTCTCTAGCATTCTTGTTATTTCCTTTGTCTAATATTTGAACGTTGTCCCAGTCGAATTGATGTCCGTAGTTGTCTGTGTGTAGTGAAATGAGGGAGTGGATATCATGTCTTTTGACGGCTAGCTTATGTTCGTGGATACGAAGACGAAGGGGACGTCCACTTTGGCCGATGTAGTGTTTTTCGCAGTTGTTACAGTTTATTTTGTAGATGATGTTGGTTTTATCTTCTTTCGCTGTTGAGTCTTTCGGTTGACATAGAATTGAGTGCAGCGACTTTGTTGGTTTGTGTACGACGTCAATTCCTAAAGGTTTGAAGAGTCTTGTAGTGATTTCTGAGATATCTTTGTGCACAAAGAAAATTGCCTTACCATATATAAAAGTGGACCAAAGTGGCCAAAGTGGATGTCCCCTTCGTCTTCGTATCCACGAACATAAGCTAGCCGTCAAAAGACATGATATCCACTCCCTCATTTCACTACACACAGACAACTACGGACATCAATTCGACTGGGACAACGTTCAAATATTAGACAAAGGAAATAACAAGAATGCTAGAGAATTTTTAGAAGCTTGGCATTCCAGTGGATCATCAATCAATAGACACATCGAGATGGACAAAATTTATCAACCAATAAGAAAGAAAGCTCACATACAAAGGGTGAAAGTTCAAGTCAAAGAAACAACCGGTTCCAATACAAGTAACCTAGATGGTGTGAAAACACACACAAACAACCAATCACGTCCAAGGTCACCAGGAGAGATGATTAATAAACTCGTGGAGAAATCTAAAAGCTCACTTCAAATTGAAGTATGCGCTGAAGATGTCACCCAGTAAGGTGATGAAAGCTTCGCAAACTAACCATCCAGCTCAGAGAACAAAACCACATCAAAATCATCCACCTGAGCTACAAATCTTCTCTATCATATCTACATTGAAATGGCTCAAAGTGGCAGTTTATTCTTCACACATCCATTAATCATTTGTTGGTTGTAGAAATCGATCTGTGGGTCAGCCGCAAAGAAGGCTTTCCTCAGTGATCTGCAAAAGCGATTCTTGAGGATCTCAGCCTCGGTATCACCTTTAAATTCAACGTTGATAAATAGCAGTTTCTTTTCGGCACTGTATGGGTTCTTTCAGATTTTTCGCTTTACCTTCATGTTTTTCTCGACGAATCTTGGGAGATATCCATTCTCTATGAGGACTTGTCCAGTTCCCCGTCGATTGCATCACTGGAACATAGCCCTCTTATTCTTGAGCATAAGGAGTGGGTCAGCTTTCTCTTTCTAATGGGAAGCTGTGGCCAGTAGGGTGAAACAGGTTGAAGATGAGGCAGTAACTCATCGAAGAAGACATTACGAAATGTTTGGGCTGTGTCATAAATTCGCAGAAGTTGTAATTCATACGTTGGCCATTAGATCGGGTCTCAGTGGCTTAATAGTCTACGATCTCGCTAGCCTTGTAACCTGAAGGTCCTGGGTACAAACTTCAATGAGGTGGGTGCATACTGTGAAGAGTCGCAAACTAGGCTGACGAAACACTTGGCTGTCCAGTACTCCCTGGATAGTTTTCCAATGGTTCTATAACTGTTGTCAGCTTATGATGAAATCCTCCAACCAGTCAAATACAATCCCTACAAAACCAATACTTTGATACTTGATATAACACATAGTGATGCAGTATGGATAGCCGGATGACTTCTTGAACATAAATTGTTACTCTTCATAATCACATTAGGGTATTCAAATGGGTTCCTAACTTCATTTATATAGTCTTATTCTTGTTGTTGTTTTCGCTGCAATGTTCCTCACGTATGGCATCAACTTTTAACCTTCGCCCCCCCCTTATTGAGTGATGGCATACCAATGAATACACACTGCAATAGCTGGGCGATTTTACCATAACAGAGTAATTTATTCTAGATTTTATTTATTTTTTATTTTTTTTATTTTTTGATTACAGCTTGATTCCACACTGTATTTTTGGTACAAGTATCAAAATTTTCAGCATGGATATTAGTAGCCCAAATTTTGCAGGCCGACCATAGGTATCAGGTGTGCGTCAGCGTGGGCTCGAACCCCGGACCATGTGCATGGTCGGCGAGAATCCTAACCACTGTGCCATTGACGTTAATTTTCTACGTTCCAATCATCGAAATGACCCGGAACTAATCGTTTTTGGCTATGTAATGGAATTTACTGTCATCATATGGAATCGTTTGGTTAGTTATCCTATTTTTCCCAGTTAGATCCTACCGGTACTTAAGTCAAAAGAGTGTATCCCTGACTGACTAGGTAGGTTTAATTCTAGCCGTATTAAGAATCCTACAAAGACTGTTCTGATGTTCCTTGTTTATATAAAAGGACTTTCTAGGTTTTAAATTCCCTATTACTTACGTTACTTACATGATTAATATTACTACTATTATTTGTTTTAATTCAATATTAGTTTGTTTATTAGATGTATCACACAGTCAGTGAAACAGTAGTATTTACTGGATGACACAGTTTCGAACAAAATTTATTGTGCATAATCACATCAGTTATAATCACACAACTTCGAAACCTGAGTTTCACGGTTTTCTTTGTCTTCTCCTGTTTGTCGCCGTAGGGATAGTAGAGTTTTCCAGGTATCTGGGACAGGTGATGAATTTTTTGTTTTAAGGGCTCCACAGATTTTAGTGTTTTTTCAGTTTTGGTTTTTTTTAGTTTATCTAATACCCGGTGATGATTGTCAGGTTAAATTCATAGGTCAGCGTAGTAGAACAGGGGCAGTCAGTCAGACTAGCCAAACACAAAAACCTAGCAAAATCTAGATAAGTGGACTCGAATAAAATAAGAAATCTAGAGAATATTTCAGCTATAGCACTACACCACATTCAGTTGCACACAACCATACAATAGGACGGAATAAAATGACTGTTTTAAAGTCTAATGTCACAGGGTGGAGAGAAGGAGAGATTGATAACAGCGGAAGCTTTGTTTATCGAATCAGCTGAGAGAGAATACATGTAATAGGAATGATTCAACATCTGTCCAACATATCTGGAGAATTCTTCTACCCCACGACGACAAATGTGAAAAGACTAAGAAAACTATAAAACTCAAGTTTCAAAATCGTGTGATTATAATTGATATGATCATGAGCAATAGTAAATTGTGTTCGAAACTGTGTCGTCCAGTAAATAATGCTGTTTCATTGCGTGATACATCTGATAAACAAACTAATATGGAATTCCAGAGATTCATCAATCAGAATGTAAGCGCACACAATTCATTATTATTATATTTTTTAATTCCTAGAGGAACATAGGGCTTCAGCCAAATGTTTCCAGTGCCTTCGGTTTTCTGCCAACTTTTTCACTCCGCTCCAAGTCTGCCACATGCTTTCATCTCCTCTTCATATGACCTCCTCCAAGTCATCCTCGCACTGACGACCAACTCGCCGCTTCCCTTTCGGGTTCCACTCAAGCAATGGCTTGTCTAGTGACGTCACTCACTTTATG